GCTCAGTATCGCCGTCATCAGAAGTGAGCCTGTTTAATCGACTTGTATCAGATTCCTTTAACAAGTCAAGACTAAATGAAGGCGAAGCTTCTCACCAAGCATTGACCTCTGAGGTAAACAGTGGACTGATACAGGAAAAGCTGGCCAGATCCTGTCGGGAATGACTCACTACAGATGAATGTTGGCCAGAGTTTTTGAGGAAACTCAGGGGTAAAACTTAAAAACAAAAACAATATTGCAAATTATTTAATCAACTGTAGCCATGTTTTATTTCCTGATTTATTGCTAATTGTCGATATTATTCAAATAGTGAATAAAAAATGTTTTGATACACAAACAGTCTCAGAACACGCTGGCCACTGTTGACAGTACGGTCTAAATGTAATATTTTCTCTTTGCTGACTAAAGGATTCGCTTGGTGTGAAACGCACTTCACACACGTACGCACACACACAGTTGTTTGTCGCCAGATGCCACGTTTATTTCTAGTTTTCATTTGTTATGACCGTCCACAGTCTGACAGCTCCGGTCTCAGCTGATTCCCAGCTTCCCCTCCGCTCCTCTCCCGTCTCACTAAAAAAGGGGAAGGAAACCATCATCAGTCCAAACGCCATCAGCTGTTCTCACCTGCGTCTCCAGCACCGCCCCGTTGAGCTCACGGACCACCCCTCCGCCACACTTATATACCCAAGAAAATAGAACTGACTCAGTCTGCAATCGACTGACATACACACTGTAAAATGAAAAGCTATCATACAGGATGTAAAGGTTTGACAGGCCGCAGTGTTTCAGCGTTGTGAGACTTCTCTGTGTTCTTCTCAGATGAAGACGAGGTTCCCTGGTTTCCCATGAAGATCTCCGAGTTGGATCAGTGCTCTCACAGAGTGCTGATGTACGGGTCCGAGCTGGACGCCGACCATCCCGTGAGTCATTTCAGTTCAACTTTATTTATAAAGAACAGCTGACAGACGCCTGCAGCGTGAGTTCATTTTGCATTTGAGACACTGTTTAGGGCCTTTGTGTGCAGGTCAGGGTGTCAAGGTTCTCCTTCGGGCCTTCAGGCTCATCTCTGAGTTCACCTCTGGACCTCCTACAGCTGTTTTCATTCAAGAGGAAACCTTTAACTGAGTCTGCAGCTGTCCAGTAGGTGGTATAGATCAGGAAGTGAGACCTGCAGAGTCAGTTCCTCCCCACAGGTTGAGGTGCTGAGTTCAATGTGCTGCTCATCTGCCCCCTCACGTGGAGGAGGCGGGGCTTTTTACACACACCTGCCCGCTCTTCGATCCACACGAAATAAATTCGTCTTTGGGGCTTCGACACGCTGGAGGAGGTCCAGCTAATGTGTCAGATGTCAGCCTTTCTTGGTGGGACGTACGAGCGGCAGCAAAGTTGCGAGCAGCCCATAGGTGCACGCAGAGGTGGCAGAAAGCTGGGCATGATGGGATATCTGTACTCTGACTGTGTGTCCTCTTCCTTCCTGTCAGGGGTTTAAAGATAATGTTTATCGCCAGCGCAGGAAGTACTTTGTGGAAGTGGCCATGAATTATAAGTTGTAAGTATGTCCGTTGT